CAGGGCAGCGGGAAGTTCGGGGAGGAGTTATATGAAACGTAGTTTGCGGACCAGTGTTGCCAAATCCGCGATTGCCACCGGTTGTTTTTTATGTCAGCAGGTTGAAGCGACCTCAATAACGTGATATTTAGGCCCTGGAATGTGAATTGTACCAGGAGCACCCCGCCAAAAAAATGTGTATTTTACCCCCAACGCGATTTTTACTGGGGGACCCCCTCGAAAGCAATTGGGCTATTTTCAGGCTAGTTTTGAGTAGTAATTGGGCGGGTTTTGTAGCGAAAACCTGGCAACCCTGCACCAGACAGAGCTGTCGGCGATTCTTCCTATTGTAAAGTCATGCAGTGTGTAACCTGTCGTCGTTCCATCGTGCAGTGTGAACACTGCAACAACTGAATGCTACCCCAGATAGTCGTTCAGTGTGAAACCAACAGTGATGCGACGTCTTTGAAAATCGTGCAGTGTGAACTCGGCATTAAGTGCATCCAGCTGAAATGACTGAAGTAATACTTGAACTTACTCTGATCTCACGGCACACAGATGTGAGTTTTACGCTGATTCTGAGAGGAACCACTGAAGAACCGGTTCCTTGTTCTCCGCCAGCCACTTAATCTTGGCTGTTGTCTTCTCGATGGCCTGCTGCAGCGCTTGAGTTCCCGAGCCGAATCCGGTCTCAGCATTATCCTTTTGGAAGCGTTTCAACTGAACAAAGACAGCGAGGATTTCACACTTAAGTCAGGTTATGTCTTATAAGCCTCTCACAGTGCATGCAATAGATTTTTGATGTGTGGTTGTAAGGTCAAAGGTCATGTACCTGACTGAGTTCAAATGGTGTGCAGAATCTATAGGTGACGTCACTAATCAGTCTGGAGAAAGTGAATGATCCAGTGCCGTACCTGTTGAGTAATACCAAAAGTGTGTACTTTTACATATTTTTCTCTTTCTCTCTCTTTGTGTGTGTGTGTGTTATGATATTTGGCATACTTACAATTTGAAGAAATAGTCCCAGTTTGCCCGGACAAAATCCCATGCCAAAGGTTGTCCAATAATATTACTGGCAATGTACCCAATGGTAGAAGTGGCGTCCTGTTTGCGTATCTTTTCTGGGTTCATAGTGTATTCCAGGTACCTTATTAAAACATGAAACAATTTACAAGTTAAACTCCACAGTTCCTAGAGTATTACAATGCATCTACACAACTGGTTCAAAAATACATTAGAAATGCAATTCAGACAGGTGGTGACTTGAACACACAATTTCTATAATAAACATGTTTAGAATTTCTGAATTCAAATTTATTTTGATATTTGTTTTATGGAGCTTTAAGTATAAAAATGTGATTCCCTCTTAAAAAGTACAATTAAAAGTCCCACAATTAAAAAAATTGGAAGAAAAAAGTGTTTTGCCATAACCTTGTCATAAAAAAGCATATTGCATAATAAGGATATGAATATTAAGCTATATTAATATTGGAGAAAAAAAATACGTTGTGTTAAGATATTTTGTTGTCTTAAACGATAAAACTGGAAATGATTTAGGATGCTTAAAAATATCAGAACATGATATACAAGGTAAGTTCTGTTCAGGTTTATTAGGTATAACCCCCAAAAATGTGTTCGTCATTCGAAAGTTTCTAAGAACTTGAGTGTTAATATAAGTGGTTTAAATTGAATTTATTTCAGACATCATGTCTTTGACCCTTATGCTTTCCCAGAGCTACCTGTTCAGTAACCAGGGCACTTTGGTGCATGCCAGAGCCGATCTCAGTTTGACAGCTTCAGCTGCGACTGTGGCCTTCTGGAACATCTGCCAGCCAAAGTTCCACTCTTCTGTACCACCTGCAGCGATGGCATCACAGTACACCGTCGACCTCAGGTTAGGGTGAATCCTGAACGGAATTTTTTTTATTTATTTATTTATTTCATCATAAATGCAGCACCAATAAATTAAATATTGTACTATTTAAAATAGCTGTTTTTTAAACACATTTTAAAATATGATTTATTCCTGAATATGCTCAAGAAACAATTCTAGTTATTATCAATGCTGAAAACAGTTGTGCTTCTGTTTTTTTCTTTTTGAAACTGTGATATAATTTTTCAGGATTTTTTCGATGAATGGAAAGTTCGAAAGAACAGCATTTAGATGTCTTTACTGTCACTTTTGACCAAATTAATGCATCGCTGCTTAATAAATTCTTTAAAAAGTCTTAATAAACTCAAACCTTTAAATTGTATTGTACATTCAATGTGCAATATGTATATTTTTTAATTTTTAATATTTTAATTCTACATCAGAGAGTTGTATCAAAATATTAGAGGTATGTTTCTGATCTTATGGTGCACAATATTGGTGCACTGTATTAAAATATGTTAAAATTTGTAAACTTTTATCAAAATGTAATAACTGGTGTAACTCTGAAATTACTTTCCTTTTCAGATGATGTTACAAATCACACTTTTCAGCCCATCCCTTCAAATCGCCTGCCTGCATTCTGGTATCTAACACTGATTTTTTACACTCACCAATTTACATGTTTTCTCATTGAATATCTTGTTTCACTCTGAAATGCAGCATCACATTACGGAAGTAAATTGAGTTGTGAGTAGTGTTTGACTTTAACATTTAAAGGTGGGGTATGAATTTTTTCAAAAATGCTTTAGAAAACTGAGTCGGGCCGAGTACCAAAACAAACTTGTAGCCAATCAGCAGTAAGGGGCATGCCTACTCATGATGGGGACGAGAGAGAGTTCAATGCACAGGATGGACATTAGCCGAGCCGAGCGACAGAAAGATAGAGATGGCGGATAAAAAACAAAAGAGGAAAACGTCTGCGGAAACAAAAGAAGGCTTACGATAAGGCAAGAAGTAAGACCCGTGTAAATATTGGATCAGCTTTCCAGCGCTGGAGAGAACTCAGGGAGCGGGAAGGCCTGCGATCGGACGCAGAGGTTGCTTTGCTTCTTCTCGATAGGTGAGTGTAACATTGGTTTTGCTTTGTTTCACAGAACTAATATATGCTGGTATTTGCTTGAATATGCTCGTGTGTCATAATCGTTGCCTGGGTTGCGTACGTATGTGTGGGGTGGAGCTATCAAAATAGGGGAGAGACCATTTTGGGGTAGGTGCGTGTTTGTTTTGGTGATTTGAAATATCAACATTGGCTACCAGAAATCACTTACCCTACCTTTAATGAATCAACAGCCTATCTGCTAATCTTCAACATGTTTAACAATACTTTTGGATTGAACCACAGTATTTTTAGAGTTTACCACGAAAAAAAAAATCTGTTTTATAAGAGAAGTCACTGACTTTTTGCGACAGGTGGGATTCAGCTTACGGCACTTCTCATTCATTCCTATGGTATCCATAAATGGCGACTGAGTGTCGTACAACTCTGTAAGGCTGTAATGTGATTGGTTATTAAGGCACACATGATCCAAGTTAGCCGTTATACTTTCTCCAATAGTAATACAGACCCTCTCATCTCCCTGTAGTATCACGCAAACATGATGTTGTCAGAAACTGATGACATATATCCTTTTAGCACAGTACATGACAAACACTGCCTCATTTTAGTACCATACAATTTCTTTAATATTGTATTCTGTGCATGTATACAGTCCATAAATCATTAATTTACAAATAAACCAAAGCGTTAGACAGTACAAGGAAAGTACAGAATAGCTTTTGTGATGAAAACATGGTCCTTGCTTCTTAAAGTAAGAAAAGTAATGGCACAGGCACATTTGTCTGATTCAGATGAATTCCAAGTGAAACATTTATTGCAAAATCCTCTTTGATCAAGCATTTACACACTTTTTCACATGAGTTTGTTCACATGAGTAATGTCATGTTGTTTACCTCAAATGAGGTGATCTATCAAAATTAGATGGCTTAAAGGGATAGTTCACCCAAAAATGAAATTACCCCATGATTTACTCACCCTCAAGCCATCATAGGTGTATTTGACTTTCTTCTTTCAGACGAATACAATCAGAGTTATATTAAATAATGTCCAGGCTAATCCATGCTTTATAACGGGAGTGAATGGTAGCCCAAAATTTGAAGTCCAAAAAATTGCACCTATCCATTATAAAAGAAGTCCACACGGCTCCGGGGGTTTAATAAAGGCCTTCTGAAGCGACGCGATGCGTTTGTGTAAGAAAAATATCCAAATGTACAACTTTATAGACCTTAATCTCTAGCTTCCGCTAACTGTCGTACGCTCGTTCACGAGAGAGTGCCGTTATTTAAAGGTGCTGTATGTATGTTTTTGACTCTACTAAAGCATAAAAATACCATAATATGTTTGCAGATATTTAAGAAACATGCTACGTTAATATACTTGTTTATCTGAAAAACAATGCTACAGTCATTCTCCTTTGAAAATGTGCGTTCCGGGCCGGAATGTCGATCTCTGTTTTGGTTTGTGAAACACGCCCACTGCCAGTTTACCCAATTGTATTTCGGCACCCCGGGTTGCCAGTTGGCGGAAAACTCAGCGTATTTCATTTAATTCATCGTCAAGTGCGCTCGTTCCTGTTGGTGTCGTCAATCTGGCAACCTGCGTGTGCGTCACGTCTGAGGAGGAGGGGCCGGGTGAAAAAAACCCTCTCCAATATTTTGATTAATTATTTGGACTGCAATACCTAGTTCAACCACTCGGTGTCAATCCTACATACAGCACCTTTAATATAACTCCGATTGTATTCGTCTGAAAGAAGAATGTCATATACACCTAGGATGGCTTGAGGGTGAGTAAATCATGGGGTCATTTTCATTTTTGGGTGAACTATCCCTTTAACTCTCATGCCGCATAGATGAGTAAGAGATGAGTATACACAGAATATGAGTTATATGATAAATATTTCCAAATATATAAACAAAGTCAAAGCCAATATGCTTTTTAAGGAAACCACTTGGCATTGACTGAAAATGTTAGCTCGGCACTTATAAACAAATACAAAGATAAACAACAATTGAATATTTTGAGCTATAAAAATGTTAAAAGTAGTATTTGATAATGTATACACATATATAAAATCAAAAACATTTGAATTTTGTAAATTGATATGCAAAATTCTCTTTGGTCTGCATCTTGTGGATGTATGTGCCCAGACACAACATGGAAATGAATCTACATTTACACCTCAATCATTTTTATTTCCAAACGAAACCGAGGACCTCAGAAATACTGCAAACAAAGTAGCAAAAAAGGCATATACAATAAAATAACCGTAAGTTGTTTTCCTCACAGGCTTTTAAGTTTGCTTTGAGCAGACTGTGTTTATGGCAGTGCGAGAATGAGCCGAAGAAGTGTGGCGCCCTCTTCTGGACGTGTCCTGTGATGCAACAGTGCTGCATAGATTTTTCAAAGACTTCCTGTGGAATGGATTTTTTTTAGGGTCGTCATCAGGTGGGACAATTGGGAATGTTGTCCCGGGCCTTGTGAAAGGGCAGCCCACCTATAAAATTTGTTCCTGGCCCCCATGAAGTTTACCTGTGTATCTTGTCCAAAAAACGGGGAGAATCCAACATAAAATAAAGGTTCATCCATTCCAATACTGACGTTTCACTGTCTCTACACCATCAGCAAGTAAAAGCGGTCAGATAACAGTAGCGAAACTGTAAATTCGGTTTCCTCTTCAACATTTGAAATTAAGGATGTAGAGTCTGTCCCCTTCGCAGTTCAGCAGGAATCTCTGCTTATGATTTTTCTATTTGGTCTTCTGAGAGCCGATCATCACCTTAGAGACAAAGTTGACAATAGCACTGGCGGGCTGCTCGGGGTCGTGTTCGGCAAATAGGTGACACACATTCTCAGTGCTGCTCCCGCTTTTCCTCGCAATGAAGCCAAAGATCCTGTTTTACACACACACGCATACACAACTATGAATAAATATACACACTCAAATACAGAACTGGCACTACTTCAGAACTGAGATAGCCTGATTAAAACTTACTTTGCAGTTGTGCAGCCGTCCCGTGTCCACCTGTGAATAGTGCAGGAAAGAAGTCAGAACATCCAACAAAAACCCACTTACACCAAAACATCCAATTACATTGTGAAGTCTAAAATTTTCTTTACAAATGTAAAAAATGTAAGACTATAGATAACTATATATTAATGGAAAGCAGGCAAACAAGATGGCACTGTGTGTGTGTGTGTGTGTGTGTGTGTGTTACGTACTTCCTGTTCTGAGGATCCAGGGCACAGAATATCACTGTGTTGACAGCATAGTGTCTCCTGAAGAACAATCTGGAAACACACAGTCATATAAAAACTCAGGACAACATTATATGTATATACATATATAAAGTTTCTATGTGTAAATTTACACTACTGTACAAATGTTTGGGGCAATTTTTTATCACTCTTGATTACTTTGCATTAAATTGATCAAAAGTAACAGTAAAGACATTTACAATGTTTAAAAATATATATATTTCAAATAAATGCTGCTCCTTTGAACTTTCTATTCATCAAAGAATCCTGAAAAAAAGTATCATGGTTTCCACAAAAATATGCAAATGTTTCTTGAACAGCAAATCAGCATATTAGAATGATTTCTGAAGGATCATGTGACACTGAAGACTGGAGTAATGATGCTGAAAATTCAGCTTTGCATCACAGGAATCAATTACATTTGAAATTATTTACAAGTAGAAGACAGTTATTTTAAATTGGAATAATATTTCATAACATTACTGTTTTTTAATCAACTAAATGTAGCTTTGGTGAGCATAAGACACTTTTAAAAACATGAAAACATTTTACAGACCCCAAACCTTTGAACAATTATACACAAAAACAACAGGTGATTATTGAGATGTGGGACAACACATTACACAACTTTACCTAAGATTAGCTTTCAAAATAGAAACACTTCCACTACAACATTATTCAGAAAAGATTGTTAACATAAATGTACCATTTCACTCACGACAATACATGATCACTAAACCCCTAAACCCATCTAAATATAACTCAATATTTGAAATATAAAGAGAGAGACTCACTTCCTCTGGTTGTCCGTGAGGGTGATTCCCTGTGCAGACACTTTAAAGTGAACGACGGTGGATGTGGGTGGTGGATCCATACTGAAAATCACAGTGGTGGCCTTCTGAACACCCTGAACTCCTGTCAGAGACTCCAGATCCACACTGCCCAGGAACCACACGTTACACGCTGAGCAACAACACACACACATTAACACATGGATGAGATCAAATAATCACTGATATTGTTCAGATATTTCATTACCTGCTCCCTGTTTGAGTAGCTCTGCTGCAGAGTTTGTAGATGAAGTCTGTGGTGAAGATTCATTTAACTCCTCTAGAGGATCTAAAAGAAGTCTTCAGTTAGCATAGAAACACTAACAACATAAAACTCACGCAGACACACCCTAATATCATAACATACCTCTGTTTGGGATGATGAGTCTGCACGGTAAAGCCAAGGGTGTGACTGAATGCTGACACACCAAAGC